CCCCAAAACCCCAACCCCAAAACCCCAAAACCCCAAAACCCCGGATGGTAGATAGCCAGTTGAGAGAGATTAGAATAGAAGTTTTTCAAAAAAATTAGCGAGAAAGAGGGGTTTAGAAGAGAATATAACGATTTAAGCCCTGTCAAACCAATTTATGTCTTTATATAATCCAAATTTTGACAGATGGGATGTTTTTATTAATTAGCTCATTTGATCTGAAAATTTTGGAAATGTTTCAGTATTAAGATCATCGCGGTGGGATTTTAGATAAACCTATTTTGTATAACTTAGATGTGTTAAACTCCTTGAGCTGCTTTGTTGTCTTGGACTTGACTTGTTACGATAAATAAATATATCTTTGTAGATGCAAGTTTCTTATCTTCCATGCTCAATGAAGAGGAAATCATAACCCTAAATTCATTGGATTAAACACGTACTCTCTAAAATTGATTTTAGAGTTACAAATCAAAATCACTATTTTATGATTATTATTAGCTCTCAAGCTAAGCTTAAAATACTAAGATGAAGTTGTTTCACTCTGAATCTTGCCCTTGCCATTTTTAAGCTATTTGGCCTGGCCTAAAGCATCCTCATGACTTTAATAAAACTGGATACCTCCAATTAATAATGAGCTCCTACTTTCAAATCTCTCTTATCTCTTTGCTGGCTGCAAAATTCTTGCTCAGTTGGTTTATCCTCCCGATGACCGATCACTGATGAACATAAAATAACTAATATATCTCAGAAAGTTCTAATAGTTATAAAGTAGAGTTCTCCAGGACTCTGTGGCTTACAGCCTTCATAATAGCATTAAAGACACCCTCATTGGCATCATTGATGGTTAGGATATAAGGAAGACTCCTAATGTTCCTTGATTTCATTTGTAACTCATCCTTATTCATAAAAATCTTCGGCTTAGACTTGTTAACCTAATACCATGCTGATTAGGCTTCATTACCCTCTTTCTAAAGCTATAAGCTAATAACTCTTCTCAAAATGCTGAGAATAGGGAGAAGTAAAATTTGCGTTGTTAAAAACTTAGGATCTCTTCCAAATGACTAAGTTCAATTTTTGGTAAGTTACCTTGCTTATAAATTTTTGGACATAAACCAGTTAGTAATCCTGCTTTAGTTGGGCAATGATCTGTGAGACTAAGGTTATGAGTTAATAGGAATAGGACAACTACTCCACAGAAGTATGAGCCCCCAACTCCTTCTCTCCTATCTAATCTCTTAATAATAAATATGAGCCATTTTTATGGGTGAAGTGATTAAAAAGTATGGATACTTCTTCATAAAGGACATAGATCCCAAAATTTCGAGGCTAAGGATCTGCAAACTTCTCTCAAGCACTCCAGGACTGTTTCTCCTGAGGTTTAATATTTTAGCATGCAATTTAAAAGACTTCAAGCTTAGATCCATTTCAAAATCCCTAAATATCCATTAAACCTAAGTCTGGACCTATATAATCATGTATAGTGAGTAACAGCTCTACTCTAGCATGATGAGAAGATAAAGGCATGGCAGATTTTAACCTTAGGCCCATACATGCTATCAGAAGGAAGAAATGTATCTTCTAAACCCATTCTGCTGAAATGATTAGAATCATGAAAATAGAAAGTATAGTGCTTTATTACTCTCTTGGACTAATCAGTATCTCCTAATTTATTGCTATAGGCTAAGGAGCAGGCGGATTTGTAAGACTTGAAAGATTTCAACTCTGAGTTTTGAATTAAGTGGATGAAACATAAGATAAGCTTGTATCTGTATAAGTGCTGGAGTCGTAGAAAGTTTTATCTCCAGAGCTTGCCATGTCAAGGCTTATATGCACGGAAACTACTCATTCTGACTTATCCTGGTGAACAACTCTGAGAGCGATAACTTTTCTTAGCAAAATTTTTCTTAAACCGGGATCTTCAAAAAATCCAGAAGAATTTTCTGAAAAGAGAAACGAGTGCATTTAACTTGCGAAGCCTTGGTGTTTGACAGCTATATTTGGAAACACCCTTAAAAGCTCTAAAAATATTAGATCTGGCTATGTCACCTACTCCTCTATAAAGTTTATGGTCTGAAAAATAAAACTCGCATTCCGAATAGGAGCATATTTATTGTCATCAGAATTTTCCACCAAAGCACAAAATAGAATTATATTCTATTTTTGACATCCTTGATAGATTGGTGCTATGGTAAAATATTGGGCATCAAGTGTAGGTGCTCTAAGAAATGAGCATGAGACTTGTGAGAGCTATACTCGACTTTGAGGCCAAACACTACCCAATTTATATAATATTCTTCAACCTCACTAAAGAGGTCTTGGTAATATTCATAAAAACAGCCCAGAAATCATTTTTAAAAGGCGATATTTGTTACAGTTTCTAATTTTCAGAATTTTTCAGAACTTTCAAATTTTAATAACTCAGTCTGAAGCGAGCGAGAGCCCCCTGGCTGTATCTGAGGATCTAATTGAGAAGCTAAATTAGAAATATAAAGAAAGCACTCTTAATTGTTCTGAAAATATCCAGGCTATAGATCAAAAAGTTCTCATTCATTCTCTTCTTCTATTTTAGAATTCCTTCTTTGAGAAAAGGTTTAAAGAACAAAATGGAACTTTATTTTGGAGCGAAATCTATAGTGAAAGAAGCCATTTTAGAAAACTTAAAGAGCTCTGATGAACATACTAAAGGCTAGAAACAATAAGACATTAAATAGACCACATGGCTTCTATAGCTTGATTAAATTTAGATAACTTGGTAAACCAACATTCACTTCCATTTGGGTCAAGAGTTTTCATACCTTAGAAATATCTGAGGATATGGGAAGAAGTAATATTTTCTAAAAATCTCCCAGAGCCATTGAAAGTCGTAAGGGAAGCATTAAATATTAATTTTATGTTTAGAATCTTTCTTCAGCTGCTAAGTCATAGTCTGAAATTATGGATAAGATTTGAAATTTAATAAAGTTATTTACCCTACTGAAACATAGCCCAAAAATTTAAGAATTATGAGTAACAAGTTCAGAGAATCTTATCGTTACATAAAATTAACATTTCTGGCTTAGCATGAGAGATGGACGATTTAATGAAATCCTGATAAGGTTATCCCACAAAAAGTCTTCTCTAAGAAGCAAAACAGATCCAAATTATGTTAAATTTTAATGCAATTCTGAAATACTAGTAAAATCTCTTATTTCTTAAAATTTTTAATAATCATAAATTTACAAGTTATGTATACTCCTTTCTCTTCTGTTAAGTTCAGGAGCAGATAGACTAATCCAAATTATGATGAGTGTCTGATAATCGATTAGTTCATCCTCAGAGCTTGCCTCAGAGCATCAATTTTGTCATCTTGTCAACTGGCCACCAAGTGTCTTCATAATGTTTGTAAGTTGGAAGATGCCATGAGCCTCTTGAATTTCTTCAGGGAGAACTTGCGAACAGCTTCGAGGAATAGCCGGATCTCTTGAGAGACTTGGTCAGAACAATTGAGGCGGCTTCAAGGCTTTAAGTTTAAGATTCCTGTTGTGTATAAAACCAGATCTTCGGTAATCGATTGCAATGAAAAACTTTGCTCCAAAGTCGCTCTTACAGAGTCCACGATCTGTCTGGTGCTGCAGTTCACATAGCGTTTCTGAACAATTCTGCGGTTGGCTTGTTTGTAGAGCTGAAGGAAATGTCTTCTCAGAAACCTAAGAGAGTCTCTTAGTTTGAAGTCAACTCGGTCAGCTGCAGTAGGAGAATCACCAGATATTCTACGAGATTTCTGAATCTCTGACTCTTTAGGCTCAACAATAGACTCCTTTTGCTCTTCTTGAGATGAATCTTGAGCTGGAAAAGTAATAGGCTGCACGATCTCAGTATCTTTTAATAATGGTTCTCCACAAGTAAGATCTTCGTAAGCAATTTGGAAGCAAGCATCTTCTTCATATTTTGCCGGAGTCATTAAAGTGCAAGTATCCTTGGTGACTCTTGTTTCATTTGGCTGGTTGTTAATGCTCTCCATTCTGTCAGCTTTATCTTCGATTCATCCGGATTTGAGTGAGAAGAGTTGGTTGTTCTATACACACAATAAGGATACGATTTAAGGAATAGTGCTTCAAAGGATCTTAACAGATTGAATGCTGCTAGTTTTACCAATCGAAATATCAAAGATTTCAATACAAGATACTTCTCAAAGAAGGCGAACTACCTACCATATTTGTGTGTGTAATACTTGCGAAGACATTATCGGCATAGATATAGTCTTCTTGGTTCAAGTTGAAGTAACTGTCAAGGTTTGTGAACTGGTTTATCATAAGCTTCTTAAAATATATTTACTCAGTATAAATTATTATTTCTCTGCCAACCTTATATTTATAGCCCGGGGTTTTGGGGTTTTGGGGTTTTGGGG